TGCATCTTGAAATGCAATTCCCTGGCTTAGAAGTTACTTCCACAATCTTTCTTTTGACCAATTCCGGTGGCCCATTACATTTATATTTCTTTAGTAAGGAAGTTAACCAGCTTTTTGGAACATCAGAATACTTAATTGCCGCAAATGCAACTGTTATAATAATCTTACAATCTTCATGAAAAAACTCATTTTCCTTATGATGGCCTGAAAAAAGAACATTTAGTATATATTTACTCTTCTCAATATATCTAAATACCTGTAAATGGTATTTATTCACTATAAATATAAAGCATCTAAAAACAGTCTTTTATATTGTTTAGAGATTAGTATCACACCATATTATCACAGGCACATAGTAAGCCATGCTGTGACACACACTTTACATTTGACACATGCCTAAACTACTGACTTCACTGTATATTTATAAAAACCAGAACTTCCTATTTTTTAAAATAAGCATCATATATAAAATAAGCATTATATATAATTAAAATTAATAAGTAAAATTCAGACTATGCATACAACACAATTAATTTTCTCACCAAGGTATGGTTGTACCCCCTTCGTACACTTCTTCGCCTTTCATTCATGACATCTATAACGTGTTGCCGAATAGCAACCTTATCAAAGCCAACAGGCTCAAATATGTAATCACCTAGTTCATTGACAAGAGCATCCAGTTGTTCCGTTTCTTGCTTGTTTTTTCTGAATATGGGAATATTGTTTGCAGGCCATTTCTTTATGGGTTGCAGCTCTTACAGCTTTTTTCCTATATTTAAGTTTTAGCATAATTAGATAGCAGTAACAGGTAGAAATATTAAAGTTGGCCTAGACCTTTTCTACAATTTCGGATATGCTGGCCATTTTCCTGATAATGACCATGGCCATTGCTTTCAAATGACAATCATTATTGATGATTGCAACAAGCAAAGATAGTTTCAAACTCATATTCCATAAGCAAATTTAAATTAACATGATACAATCAATCGAGATGTTCATCTGGGGTTGGTTGTATAAAACTCTGTACTACATTTAACTCATGTTATTGGCCATGTTATTGGATTATTGGCCATGCAATTCTGTCCTTAACTACAGTTAAAAGTTAATTATAGTCGTTTACACAATTGCCTCATAAAGTGGTTTTCCAACTTGATCACCTGAAATTTTTAACACCTTTGAAATTATTCTTGGACCTAGTTATAATGACAAGTTCCTAAATAATAGATCATCATGCTAATTTGAGCATCCCATTCTCTGAGAGACATTTTATTATAATGTGGGGGTAATTGGGAGGAAGAGAGAAGGGGAAACAAAAACACAAGTAAAAAATGTTTGGAAAATAATGTACAAACAAAATAACTTTCATTTTAAATTTACATGAGATAAGATGGAATAAATCTTAGAATATTTAATCGATCTAAGACTTTTCATGCATATAAATGTAAACTACTCCAACAAACATCTGCCACACAAATATAAAGAAAGGGTCCAACACAAGGATTGTTAATGGCTAAACAAAGCATTTTAAATTGTTTATGCGTGCAACTTTTGAAAAAAATGGCTGTCAGTGTTATGCACGTTTGTGGCATTACATGTACTATTACTTACTTTGCATTATACACACATTTTTTTACTTTGGTGCACTTGAACTCCTTCTTTAATGGCTTTTTACAGGAGATCAGAATGATTACAGGACTCTGTTGTCTTTTAGACATCCTGCCGAGAGAGGACAAGTTGCTGAAATTTAAGTTGTGAGCCTACTGTATCGAGTGTATTCAAAATTAATAAGCATTTAATAGTCTATACAAGCACTAGTACTAGTGGTGTGTTGCCCCATCCTCTGTAGAATTGATGGTAGTTTGAAATTTTCACCATATAATACAGGGGCTGTGGAAGATTGTTAAGTGGCCGGGGACCAGTATGGAAAGTAAGTGCTCACCGTGTCACTTGTGCTGTGCACAACAAGGAAGTTGGTGCACAACTTGGTGCACAAAATTAGTAGTTAGAGCACAAAAATTAGTAATTGGTACACAGAAAGTTGCCACAAATAATTTGGTGCACAAAATATGATAAATGATAGTTGACATTTTATAGAAACAAACTTCAGAAACAAACAGAGTACTTTGTCTTTCTTTGACAGAGATAAGGATGTAGCTAAAGATGCCACACTAAGCTCTGGTGATGTGGCAGAAGCGGTGGAACTTTCTAGTTGCACAAGTACAACTCGAAGTTTTTCAACATTAAGAAACAAGGCCGTCAAGTAAAAGTAAAAATCCTCAAGTAAACAAGAGAGCAACTCTGCCTCAAAGTGGTGAAAATCAAACTAAAAGTCATAAAAACAATTCTCATCCCAGCATATCACTTGGTGAGGTAAAAACTAACATTGTGTCTATTAACCATACCTCAGTTCCAAAATATATAAGGGCAAAAGTGTCTGTACCTTTAGAGCATCAGCAGTTCCAGCTGTCTTAATACAAGTAACTGAAGTAAGAACACCTGTCCCTGAAGTGACACCAGGAAATGATTTGTTGAGATCAGATGACGATGGCGATGACAGTGATGATAGTATTAACAAAACATTAGGTTCAACAGGGGTTGCGTCAACACCTGTGACATCAAAATTCGGTCAGTACATGATAGAGCCATATCAAAAGATGAAAGAAAGGAGAAAGGTGAACAACATTGTCGAACTGGTGAGTGAAATTGATTGTTTACAACTTTACCCCTTAACTGAGAAAGATGAGAATGAATTTCATGACAATTCTGGTGCAATTCATCAGTGCGAAATATGTTTCACCTTGTACAAATATAAAGCTTCCCAACTTACATCTGCTAAGGCTGCCAAGAGGCTGTCCAGAGACTGTAAGCTCTGTACTAGGAGGTACCTTAGCCAAGACAGGATGAAGAAACTCATGGATGGTGAAGAACCCTACTGGTGCAAGTTAAAGAGTTCTACTATTCAACATATGCTGTGTTCTCATGATGGACAAACGCATTTTAAAGCTCTTACCACACTGAATGGGGAACGAAATTTAATGGCAAAACATTACGAAGCAGCTGAAACCTTAGTAAAAAGTGTGTTAGTTTCCATTAAGGCTAAGTCAGCTGCGATTCATTATGAAGAGCAGGTGGCATTTGCATATTCTCTCGGGGCTCAAGTTGGATAGAGGCTAGATCGATAGATCGTAAGTTAGTTCCTGATCTTGTGAGATGTATGCTTCAGGTAATAGATGAAACAACAAAAAGATAACTATTAAAATGCCTTCCTAGTACAGGACGTCCACCTCACTACTTGATGGCATTAGATAAGGCAACTGTCAATAAAAGAACAAACCAAGGTGTTGTTATTTGCCAAACAATTGATGGTGCTAAAGTTCCAATAGCTGTTGGGGCACTAGAGGTGTATACACCTAATCAGGTTGGCAGTGTAGAGGGAGGAAAGGCAGAGGATTCTGCCGAACAAGCCCTAAAACAAATTAAGGAGAAATTTGGTAGTTCAACACTTCATCATATGGTTGGTTCACATTTTTAGTTATTGCTCACATAGTACTTGATAACACTTGCAGCATTCTATATAACAAAAAGTGGTAATATAAAATACAAGGAGTATGATCAGCAGGAGGATGATTTAAAATACGTTACAGTTACTTAGTGCTAAAATCAGTGGTAATTTTATGTGCATATAGGTAGATGGTGTTTATCAAGCCAGTGGATTTCAGGAAACCATCCATGAAGGAGATAACAATCTGTTTCTAAAACAGGTCCACTGGGATCCTTTCCACTAAATTAACCTTCCCGTCACTGATGTCAGAGAAAGCTGAAAACTTCTCAGAATCACTCAACTGAGGTTTTTTTGGGTAGTTAGGACCGCCAAATTTTGTATTTTAAATATTTAGCAACAATAAAAGTTAATAGGGAATAATATTTTCCTTGACTTATGGTAACTTCTGCATTGAATATTATTTATTAAAAATATTTCATGAGTTTTGATTGGCTGACAACCGCCAGTGAATTCTTCACATGACCATTGCTGAGACTTTGGAATAATTAGTTAGGTATAATTATTATTCAATGACGTAATATTTATATGTGTATATAAATGATTTCTGATATGAAATATACATCTTTTTACACTGAATGTGGAGTACATAACATGGTGTCAGGTGTGGGACTTTTTTGAACAAAATGGAACAATTAAAGCCTCCAGGTGAACTTTGCCTGGAAGGAAACTTAGCAGAAAATTGGCGAAAGTGGATTCAAAGCTTCAAACTTTTCCTCATTGCGAGCGAAATTGGCGAGAAAAGCGAGAAAGTCCAGTGTGCCACATTTCTACACGTGGCCGGCGAAGAAGCTCGTGCCGTATATAACGCCTTCGACTTTGCCAAGGAAGGTGATGAACACAAAATCGATATCTTAAAAGACAAATTCAAACAGTACTGTGAACCACGAAAGAATTTAACGTTTCTACGCCATCAATTTTTCACACAATCACAAGGACCAACTGAGACAATGGATGCTTTTGCTACCGATTTAAGAAACAAAGCTAAACATTGCGAATTTAGTACATTGACTGATAGTCTTATACGTGACAGAATAGTCGGAGGAATCAGAAGTGATCAACTACGAGCAAGATTACTTCGTGAAGCGGACCTATCCTTACTAAAAGCTATCGATATATGTTGTGCAAGTGAAGCAAGTGCAATGATGACGACGGCAAGTCCCTTCATGCACTGCAAAGATCTAAATTTACTTACCCGAGTAAATCGCTAAATCCAAGGTTGTATTCAAAACAACATCAGTCAACCCAGCAGTCAAACTATGGCTATGTGCAACGAAAGTGTGGACATTGCGGTGGAGAACATTCTAGTTATCAAAAGGCCTGTCCAGCTTTTGCCAAGATTTGTAATAACTGTCGAAAGGAAAACCATTTTGCTCGAGTTTGTCGATCGAGATTAGTGTCAGTGAATAAGCAAGCATTCCAAGTTGATATCCAAGACAAGATGGATGATTTTTTCATCGGAATGGTGGAAAATTCTAGCGACGACGACTGGACCGAAAATATTATAATAAACAACAAAGCTATTGAAGTTAAACTTGACACTGGCGCACAGTGCAATGTCATGTCACGCAATGTTTACAACAGCATTGTTCAAAATAACATCGCTCAAAATAACATTTTCCCGATTGTTGCATCGAATGCCAGATTGGTAAGTTACTCAGGGCACAAAATCACTCCAGTTGGAAAAACAAGATTTTAATGTCAGCGAAAGAACAAGTTCTATCAAATCACATTTCAGATAATAGATGAAGATGCTCCATCACTGCTGGGCAGGAAAACCTGTTTGGAATTGGGATTAATTGAAAGAATCATGAATTTGCATCGATCTGATGGTGACAACAAAAGTGGCGATGACATTCTCAATCATTATCCAGACTTATTTTCTGGTCTTGGTTGCATACAGTCAGTTGGAAAACATCACATTGAAGTAGATCCTAATATAAAGCCAGTCATTCATCCACCAAGAAAAGTACCTGCTGCATTGCGCCACAGAATACTAAAGGAATTGGAACGGATGGTAGATCTCGGGGTGATTGAAAAACAGTCTGAGCCAACCAGTTGGGTAAACAGTATGGTAACTGTCGTTAAACCCAACAAGTTAAGAATATGCATTGATCCTCGTGATTTAAATCGAGCCATCCGACGTGAGCACTACCCACTGCCAACTGTTGAAGAGGTTGTATCGCGACTTCCAAAGGCCCGGGTATTTTCTACCCTTGATGCCAGTTCTGGTTTCTGGCAAATAGAGCTTGATGATAGCAGTTCCACATTGTGCACCTTCAATACTCCATTTGGAAGGTATCGCTTTAAGAGACTTCCATTTGGCATTTCGTCAGCTCCAGAGGTTTTCCAGAAAGTTATGACAACACTGCTCGAAGGACTTGATGGAGTTGAATGCATCGCAGATGACATTTTGGTATGGGGGAAGGATATCAGCCAACATAACCAACGCTTGAGGTCTGTCCTTGATCGGTGTCAAGAAAGGAACTTGAAACTGAATCGTGAGAAATGTGAGATCCAACGCACTCAGCTAACCTATGTGGGTCACTTACTTACTGCTGATGGTTTACAACCTGATCCGGAGAAGATACGTGCAATCCAACAGATGCCAGAACCAGCTGATAAGCAAGCTGTTATGAGATTCATGGGTATGGTCCAGTATTTAGCAAAGTTTTACCAAATTTGTCAGAAATCAGTGCACCATTGCGAAGTCTTCTTGAAAGTAAGACAGAATGGCATTGGGGAGAGTCTCAGAAGAAGAGTTTCCAACAGCTGAAATCTCTAGTTGCTTCAACACCAGTGCTGAAGTACTATGATGTCAATTGTCCTGTAACATTGTCGGTCGATGCCAGTTCACATGGCCTTGGTGCAGTGATAATGCAAGATCAACAACCCATTGCCTATGCATCAAGAGCCCTTACTAGTAATCAGCAAAAATATGCTCAAATTGAAAAAGAACTGCTTGCTGTAGTCTATGGTTGCAGCAAGTTCCACCAGTACATCTACGGCCAAACGGTAAAAGTGGAAACCGATCATAAACCACTTGAAGCCATCTTTCGAAAGCCCTTGCACCAGACGCCACTTCGATTGCAGAGAATGTTGCTTCAGCTTCAACGTTACAGTCTGGAAGTAACCTACAAACCTGGCAAAGAAATGTACCTCCCTGATACATTAAGCCGAGCGCATTTAAATGAAGAGAAAGAAAGTCTTCTTGATGAAGAATTAGAAGTTTGTCTTTTGGATCTGGAACTGCCAATTTCTCCAGAGAAACTAAAAGAATTTCAAGATGCCACAGATCAAGACACAGCCTTACAGAACTTGAAGACCGTAATATTGAGCGGGTGGCCTAATACGAGAAGTCAAGTACATCCCGACATTCGAGAGTTCTGGTCGTACCAAAATGAGCTCACTTATATGCACCAGTTATTGTTCAGAAATCAGAAGTTAATTGTTCCGAAGGTCCTGAGAGGTGAAATGCTTAAAAGAATACATCAAGCTCATTTGGGAATCGTCAAATGTAAGCAGAGAGCACGTGAAATACTCTTTTGGCCCGGCATGGGAAATGAAATCGAAGAAATGGTTTCAAAGTGTCCAACTTGTAACGAAAACAGGAACAGTAACATCAAACAGCCCTTGACTCCTCATGAGATACCAGACCGGCCATGGGCAAAGATAGGAGTTGATTTATTCGAGTTCAAGAACACTAACTATCTTCTGTGTGTCGACTACTATTCTAAATTTCCAGAAGTAGCTAAGCTTCCGAGTTTAAAGAGTTCAGCAACCATCACTGCATTAAAGTCAATTTTTGCCCGTCATGGAATACCGGATGAGGTCGTCAGCGATAATGGACCACAGTTCGCAAGTGTTGAATTCAAGAACTTTTCCGAAGTTTGGGAGTTTCTTCACATCACTTCGAGCCCTGGGTATCCTCAGTCCAATGGACAGGTTGAAAGAACAGTCCAAACAGTAAAAAAATTACTAAAGAAAGCTGATGAAAGTGGCCAAGATCCCTATTTATCAATACTGGAATACCGTAATAGTCCTTTGGATAGCTTTAATAAATCGCCAGCACAACTGCTTATGAGTCGCAGATTGAAGAGTCGTCTTCCGACCATTACATCATTGTTACAGCCACAAATCCAACAAAATGTTGTGAAAAAATTGCGATCAAGTCAGCAAATCCAAAAGAAATACTATGACATTGGGTCAAGAGTTCTACCGCCCCTTCGCAAAGGAGAGGTTGCAAGAATGCAAAGGAAAGGAAAGTGGGTACAAGTAACTGTCATTGAGCAACATGATAGGGCACCACAATCGTATCTGGTACAGACTCAAGATGGTCGAATATTCAGACGAAATCGACGACACCTTTTAAAGACTAATGAAAGGCAGTGTGACTCATTCAATGAGGACTCAGAAGAGGATACCCCACAGACGGAACACGTACCAATGCAGACAGAACATTTACCAGTTGAAGAAGAGAAGCACGCAAATACAGAAGGAATCCAGATCACGAGATATGGACGCAGAGTGCGTAAGCCACACCGTTACAGAGTGAATCAAGATTGAGTATCCAGAACATATTTAGTATAACTGTGAGAAAACATTGAGAAAAAAAAAACATTTAAAACTTTATAATTTCTTCTGACATTTATTAAATCTTCTTGAATGAGGGAGATGTTGAGACTTTGGAATAATTATTTAGGTATAATTATTATTCAATGACGTAATATTTATATGTGTATATAAATTATTTCTGATATGAAATATACATCTTTTTACACTGAATGTTGAGTACATAACAACCATGTGCATATACAGTATATGTATATCTGTTGCATGCTGATCTGCTGTTTGGCACAATAACTGTATAGTTTTAATGATCTCTTTGGAAAAATAAATAAGATAATTATTGGATTTGGTCTTCACATAATGTGTAAATTATCAAGGCATTGCCAAGGAATGGCAAAATTTTCTGTCAGTGCTGTGCTGCCAATACAGCAGAGTCCACATCACTTTTCACATTGCAGCGGATTACCAAATTATGGTCACTGCACAATGTGCACTTGTCCCCTGCTGAAGCTGCACTGTGCAAATGTGAGAATGCAACCTATAATTGCATAAAACATTTAACAGTAATAAAACACATAACTGAATATGTTTGTTGCAGAAAAAGTTGGGGAATGAAAAGATGTCTCAAACCCATCCAACAACATATAGCTAGAACTATCAGTTTCCTTCCTTTTAAGGCAGGGAAACAATATTGCTCATATCAGTATATAAAGAAGTTTGGAGAGCTTATGTCTCCCCTTCTGGTAAGCATTCTCCAAATAAACTTTATTTCTCCTTCACTTCTTCTCTGACTAGTATCTACAATGCAATGTTGCATATTTAAAAAAAATTAAATGAGCATTCTGACTGATAAGATTTAACTGGCTTATACAATAGTCCCTGTAACACCATTCAACTTACACTTATAGCTTTGTTTCCAGCATGCCAGTCTGCCGCTTCAAAGTGTAGACCATCTAGCTGCTCTTCTGGTGTGAAACAATTGCACAAGGTCATGTGACAATTAACAGTTCGCTCTACGATCAGTTGATCTTCAACAATAGGTTGGTTGGCATATTCTCGGTCTTTTCCTTCACCGGTAAATGAGACATATTCATGAAGGTCGTGCAATATCTTGTTTATCCCATTAGCATTATTCTCACTCTCATAGATTACACAAAGAAATGCCTGGCAGTATTTTTTTCACATGCTGTAGGGGCCTGGAGAAGAGCAAAAATTATTCTGCTGGTGTATGTTGTATGAGACTATGATATACAACATACAATAAAAAGGTGAATATTTGTTGATAACACTCACAGATTCTGTTGGTTGTGATGCTTCCTTAGTGTATTTATTTGGAATATGCTTTTGTATAATATCCTTTCCAGATTCAAGGCATGGAACATTTTCTTCAATTACATGCTGGACAAAAGAAATATAGTCATCTCTCTGTGCTTTCTGCTCTGTGTGATTTGGAATACATTTCCCACTCTCCATTTCGTTTATGCCACCAACAGGACTCTTGTGACTCAAATGGTTTCTGGAAACCGAAATGGTTTCTGGAAACCCTATTAATGGTTGCATTAGCAGAGACATAATGCTTATCAATGTTTTGGTGCTCCTCAGTCATGTAATTAACATTCTGTCTGTAGTCCACATTGTCAATTGCCAGTTTAAACCCAACAGAGGGTTGCATTCATTCTGTTGCATTCATTCTGTTGCACTCTTCTGGCTTGCTAAACCATTTGGTATCCTGATTGACCTTCTCTTTAATCATTGCATCATGACCAGCACCAAATTCTTTCAATTTGTTGTAAAGATGGTTTGGTGTTGTTACCAGTCTCAACTTGGTGCTCCTCTCTCTTCCAATTCTTTTCTTTGCTTATCAAAGGAAAAGTTAAGCATCTGCTCCTTTAAGGGTGACTGCAGGCAACTTGGGTTTTTTTTAACACAAGCCAATACATTCTTTTCTAATGTCTTCCAAAGCATTAAAGACAAGATGTTTTCTTAACTTTGGATTGCTCCACGCTCCATTAGCAACTTGTTTATATGTTCCTCTAACAAGCAACTTTCCTAATGGTTCCAAATCAGGATTCAGCTGCCTCTGACTTGACCACATTGCTATAACATTAACTCCTGTTGTTTCTCTGTTCTTTACGCGGGTTGAATGTGAAATGGGATTGGTATTTCCAACAACTCTGGCAGCGCACTGACCACTTCACATGTACTGGCAACTGATGTCGTAGCTTTATCTGGGATGTGCTGGACAAATTTGGCGCTGTTTTACATGGCCGTTTGCTGCTTGGTTCTTCTTCTTCAAAGCCTAATTGCCTTTTGAGTTGACCTTTCTCGTATGCCTCTTTAGTTGGCTTACAATGAGCAGTTACAGTTGCAATTACAATTACTCTACACCATACGCACTCCTGGCAATGGCCACCATTTGCATTTTAGTATGCGGTGCGCCCGAATAATTATCATATTATTATGCAGTTCATATTACGTCACCATACACGAAAAAGCCTGCAGTTCAGCAGACTGAATTTTCCCTGTTTAATTTCTGGCCCTCTACCCTAGTTCAGTCTGCAAGCAGGCTACATACAGCCATGCAGAAGAAATAAACTACAAGGTAACCTGGGGCCGGTTGTTGGTATGGCGTTTAAGTTGCTAACCACCGTTGAACTTGCTATCCACTGAATAAAACTAAACGCTTGAAAAATCCTGTTGTTCGTAGCCTGTTTAGCGCTATCCAGCGATTAAATTTTGCCACAAGTTAATATGCACGCTGAGAGAAATTTTACATGTGAAATAGATAATATTTTGCATTATTACAATGATCATGAGTTATGGCAATGATATCGTTTTGGTAGACGAACCATTGAGTATATAACACGTCTTTTGGAAAACGACATAGCTTCCATGACAAACCAAAATCATGCTGTCTCAGCAACTTGACAGGTGTTAATTACATTGAGATTCCTGGCATCGGAAAGTTTCCAACAGGTGACAGGAGACTCAGTTGCCGGATTAGATAAGTCCACGGTTAGCCGTATTACTTGTCAAGTCACTCTGGCTTTGTGTCCAAGAGTAAACAACTTTATATGGTTTCCTCAAACTCAGGAAGAATGAGATGCACCAAAACAAGGTTTTTACAACATTGCTAGTTTTCCTTGTGCACTCGGGTGCATTGATGGCACGCATATTCAAATAATTGCTCCATCACAAAACGAATGGGACTTTGTGAATAGAAAGAGGCACCATAGTATCAATGGTCAAGGGATTTGTGATCATAAAGGTAACTTTAAGCTGTGTTTTTTGTGATATTAAAAGGAAAACAAAAAGAGTATTAATGATAGCCTGCTCGAATCACAAGGTCCATTATTGAAAGGACTTTTGGCATTTTGAAACAGCATTTTCACCTTTTGCACTCGGAAATGAGGATAACACCTGAGAGGGTGTGTACCATAACCACAGCATGCTGCATTCTTCACAACATAGCTATTGACATGAATGAGCCAGTACCAGAATTTGAAGAGGAAGAGGCATATGAGAATGTTGATTTTGTGGGTGTCGAAACAGGGCGACTAGTGACAGATCATCTTGCAAACACTTACTTCTAAATATTGTATGTAAATATAATTAATTCAGTCATATTAAATGTGTATAATTGTGTACAAATAATAGTAATTTAATTAATTCTGTAAATTAATTATATATAATCCAGTTTGTATTACAACATGTAAATAAATATTGTTATAAACATTTAGTCACATTGACACAATTTAAAAAAATCAAATTTTTTTTGTACACATATTTCCAAAATCTATTTATACTAATCGAGAATGTTAAATGATTGTTTTTTTTACTTTAAGGCCTCAATTTCAAGCCTCAACTTTTCATTCATTAGCTTCAAATTTTCCACCTCCAAATCAATTTTAAACTTTTAAACTTTTCTCAACTTTTAATACCTCAAACTGCATTGCTTGGATGTCTTGATGAGTTTCCTTTTGCTTCTTTTGTTTTGGAGGAGCAGCAGGCTCAGCCTTTGGGGCTGTTGTTGCTGCTGGCATTTCAATACCATCATCATCTTCATCAACTTCTTTTAGCAATGGGTCCACAATTTCTAGCTCTAAAGTGGTGGCTTCTGAGAGATCAGTCTCACTTACCATAACTAATTCCTGCAATAAGTGAATACAAAATAGTCAACACAATATTTCATGAATATTTTTCATGAAATATTGTCTATCTATTCATAAAAAACAGTTAATCTACAAACCATATCTGTGGTATAGTTTGTCATGAAAAAAAAAACCCAAGTTACGTTCCCTCTTATATAATTTTAGTATTATTTTATTAGATAATAGTATGATTTCGGCCCTCGGTTTATATAAAGTGTTTTACAAACAAGCCAAGGTGAAGGCACCGTCAAATAAACAGAAACAAAATGCTAGAATGTTAACACATAATTATGTTTTACTTATCTCAAATAAATCTGCATGATATTTGGGTAACATTGATACTTTCCCATACAGATTAAATGTGAAACACTTGCAAATGCACTGTCGCCATTTTTAAAATATGAAATAATATTTTGTTGCACAATGCACCCATGATAATAATGTAATTTGAAAATAATTTAACTTACCCGATTCAATACCACCCTCAATCCCTGAGAATCCAGGTTCGTCTCCAATTAATTCAATTATCCTTCGTGAAGTCTCTTTAGGCGGTGTAGGCGCTTTTCCTTCCATTTTTCTTTTATATCTTTAACTAGTCTCTTTGCGACTCCCAAAGCATTAATTTTGTCGCAGGTTGACTGCCAAACTTCTTTTTTTTCTTATTGGTGAGATTATTCGAAAACTTTTCTCTTATAACTGCAAGGTTTTCTTTGGCTAATTGTACAATTAAATTGCATTCAGCCGCAGAAAAATTAGGCTTCCTTGCTCTTTTGTCTTCCAATTTGGTAGTATTTTGGAAGATGGCGAGAAAAATACCGGTTTTGAACAGTTAAGGTTAAGCTTGTC